CTCAATTGAAATGGACTCGCCCCACCTGTCACCCCTCAAATGAAATGGACTCGCCCCACCTGTCACCCCTCAAATGAAATGGACTCGCCCCACTTATCACCCTTCAAAAAGAATGTCTTAACTTTCACTCTCTTCAATGCAGTCACACAAAACACTTATCAAACTATAAAACAAAGTCATTCTAATGTGATATTCGTTTATTGCGACAGAAAATAATGGTGAAAGATTAGAATAAAAATAAAGATATGCATAAATTGACAGATAGTAAAAATAATATGAATTTGGGGAGCGTGGTTAAGGTTTGCATCAGAACTTGCTCCCAATACTTCCTTTTTTGCACTGGGATTTGAATACCAGCATTCATGCTTTTTACTTATAAAAACCTATATTTAAAATGGTGTCGAGCTGATTAAAAAAATTTGGGTAAAGGAAAATATGTCAGTTTTTCCATGGACGTTTGAAAGTATGATTGATACCAAATGTAGTGTGGTATACATTATAGGCCAAGAGGCGATATGCTTTTTTTTTTTTTAACTTGAACAGACAAGATACATCTTAAAATTTGCAGATCCAAAATTTATGCATATTTTGTGACAATTTGGGTCAATTTCAACAAATATTATTACAATTTTTCTTTTTACTTAGATTTGAAGGTGCAAAATATATTTTAGATAAAGAACATTTTAATGAATATTACTTTGGCTTCTGTCTTTTAGATCGAATACAAACAACATTTATAAATTACTCGCCATTTACAGGATCAGATGCATTAATAATAACACTTACAAATGTTGAAAATAGAAATGACTACTACAATGTAAATTAAATTAATGTAAGAAAGTAAATTAATTAATTACCCTAACCTTAATCTGCAACATTGTGAAAATCGCACTTTTACCTTTAAGTTTGAAAATTCATAGTAACATTTTAAACCTGTAAGTAATAACACCATTGCACAAAAAAAAAATTAAATTAAAGGCTGAATGGGTTGCAAATAGAATCGGATACATCCAGCTTGTCCCAATTAAGGTATAATTTGAAAATAAAAATGCTCAATTACTGAGTATATCTTAAAATGGAACATGATTGACCGCAATGTTTTAAGTACTTAAATATGCTCAAATCTGATATGTACATAAAATGCTTTGAAAATCGTAATAAAAGCATGTTCCATTTTCGCCATATAATGTGCGCTGCGTGTTCGTTTGAGCGCGTCAGTGCCTGTGTGTGCGCCTGTGTAAGGTTCCAAAATACAGCTAGAAGGCTTTGGAAGATTCTATCAGGCAGACGCACGTGCCTTTTGCAGGATCACCGCAGAGTTGACAGTTCTGAAAAACCAAAATAACGCTTTAATTACGATTTAAAAATGATATTCCAATGCAATGCAATTTGAACTTAAATACCATAGCTGAAAGAACATATTAATTATAAACTACAAAGAGTCTATTCAACCCATTCTATAAACTTAACAATTATACGAGTTTTTGACAAACAGACACAAGCAATATCAAACTAAAATCACAACAGGGGAGATGTATGTAAATTATCCCGACACTACCGTACATTTGCTTCAGTTTTCGACCTTACATGCTTTAAGTAAATATACGTAAGACAATCATTTACTTCAAGTTATACTTCAGTATTCCAATGTAATGTAGAAACCCGTTGGGGATGTATGTTTAACCCTTTTCTGTTTTGTACGTATGTAACCGTACTAGTACATTTGTATGAAAAAAGTAAGAGCCAAAGTATTTTCACTGACAAACAATTCACGAAGGTTACATCACTTTTTTACCTGTATGCCGATGACTTAAATTAGCTAATTGCGGGGACACAGAGCGCACATTTACAAAACTCTCAGCTCACTTGACATTGTTTTGCGAACGTTGGAAATGAAGGTTAATCTGAAAAAAACAACAAAAGTCATTGTATTTAGGAATGGAGGTTATCGTAGACACTGTGAAAATGTGTTTTTGAGGTAGTACAGCATAAATACTTGGGCATCGTTTTTTCGCCGAAGCTGTCTTGCTCTAAGGCTAAACAGACATTAGCGTCGCAAGCTCGAAAGACTCTGGGTGTGTGCTTCAGGTTTTTTTAAAGGACTGGTCACTTACCATTTACCCTGTGCTTCTATATATTTGGGTGTCAGGACAATCCCCCCCCGGACTATTACCCCCAGGACACCCCCCCCCCCCCCCGGACGCCCCAGGACACCCCCCCCAATAATATATATATATATTTATATACAAATATAAAGTAAAGAGTACGAAGTTCAAATCTTTTCATCCATTTCTGAATATTTCTAAGTCTGATGATACAACTCGAGGATAGATAATATTAATTTTATTAAACAAATTATTTTCATGGAGTACATGCAAGTACATACAATTTTCGAAATAGAAATACAGAACATTTTATAAAAAATCTGATCAAAGTATATCTCCAGGTAAAGTGGGGTTAGCAAATGATCTCACACCTCCAGGTAACCCTTTGATGAATTAACTGTTACTTTTAACTGCTTTATTACTCCCCCCTTGATTGAGTAAGTCTTGAATCAAGGGGCATCTCTAGGAAGAGGTGGGGTAAACAGAATTTCTCGCTTATCCAGGTATCCCTTTGACTATTTGTCACTTTTAATTGCTTGACCACTACCCACCACCCACCACACTAAAAATATTCATAAAATATCTGTTTACCTGTTCATCTGTTTACCCCACTTTTACCTGAAGGATAGGTGGTTATACTTCGATTAGATATTTAATAAATCTTCCTGCACTTATACTCAATGAAAAGGGAATTTGTTATAAAATAATTTGTTTCATGATGAAGTTGTATTATCACACTATGAATTCTCAGATTTAATAGAATCTGTCCATTTGAAGTTTTGTAAAAGGTTATTCATAGTTTCAGACAGTGCATGGACAGCGGCAGTATTAGGTATCCGGTGTAACGATATGTAGATTATCATACAAAATATAATAAGTACTGGGTTAGACTTTTTCATATGGATACAAATAAGAGTTCCAAGGGCATGTTATAATCTAGTGATAGAGCTTGACAGAAGTGGTAGGAAAACATGGGCAAGTAATGTTAAGCAACTACTCTATTCTAGAGCTCGCATACGGAAAAACCAAGGTTGTGAAAATGTTACAGATTTCTTAGAATTATTCAAGCAACTGACATTAGTGAGCAAAACTAATATGCCAAAATTCACGAATCTGAGAAGCTTAGAACGTTTAAAAGGATCTTGTCTGTGACGAATATCTTTTCACTGTTACTGTGGCTGAGCACAGAAGATGTTTGTGTAAATTTAGAATATCGAGTCACGATTTACCGGGTACAATGATTGTAGAAAAGGGACGCTATAACAGCACAGAGGCAGAAAATAGATTATGTCTCTTGTTTTTCAAAAGTATATACATGTAGTTATGTCGAAAACGAGATCCATGTCCTACAAGAATTACATTATATACAGACAATAATAAAACAGTACATGCCTACAAACAATGACCGTAACAGATGCTATTTCTTCGGGAAACAGTGACTTTATAAAATGATTGGCAGCTTACTTATATCGTTGTAACAAATAAGAAAAAATTATAACAAGGCCATTGGATAAGTGGACTTCGTGTATATCTTTATTTTCATATTTATATAAAAACGTTTGTTCCATCCTATAAGCTAATGTTTTGAACTATACACTCTGGGTCTGAAGGCCTGAAATACGAAATAAACTTAAAACTTGAAACTTGGTAACTTTACTGCACGTAAATGGGAACCATACCCTACAAGGTGCAACGGAGGACGCACAAGTTTTGACAGGGTGTGGACATTTATAACAACTACAGTCTGAAACACCAGGCGACTTGAGGCCTTACCCGTGATATGGGTACCTACCGTTGTAACATGCAAGGGCGAAAACTTACGCAAACCGTACATTTTCATATACAGGTACATATGCACTGTAAATGTACCACATTATCGAATCATGTAAACGCTAGCAGAAGATATTTTACTCACAAATTTTTTTCTTCAACCATATGGTTCCACCAAACGTGTACACAATGGGTCCGAGCTTCAACGCTGAAGAAAGTGTTCGGCTCAGTGACTTCACCACACCTATAAATGCAGGTCATCTTGCTACAAGGTCTAGCTGTCAAGTGACCAGCCAGGAGCATAGCTCGCACTGTGATGCGTGATTTATTGTTATGCAAATTACAACAGGTACAGACTACGGCACATTTTGATTGAGGAGTTGTTGTGGAAATCGGTCTCAAAGAACGGCGAATCTTTAAAATATTACTGTATTATTGTGACACAGCTAAAACCATCCATAATATTTCTCAAGGACAAGTTTATATATGAAATCAAAATTTGAAAATAACAATGAAGATAGATATATCAAATCACATATTAATATGTCTTTCAGTATTGCAAAATTCACACTGTTCTGTTTCTTTTTAAAATTTTCAATAAGATAGACATTAGTAAAGAATATTCTATGATTTTTATTCTGAATTGAAGCGTCTGCAGTTTTATGTCATCTGCTTCTTGAAAGTGGGATCTAAATACCTATCAGTTGCCAGTTATCATTATTTCAATGTCTTTTTTTAATATTCGCGTATCATGTACCTACACTTTAATCTGGTGATATTATATGGCCTTGGGGAGTTTTTCTTTTAATATCAGGATAGTTTGATAGTTTTTTTTTAAACGAGTCAATTGTTTCATATGATGTGATGGGTAGAGATAGTTTTACGAATTTTTCGTTGAGTTGCTCTAATAACAGGAAATTCTCAACGTCATTTATAATGTCATTAATGTAAAATATACCATCTTTACACTATCTTTGATGGAAAAGAGCTTTTTTCATTTATTTTAATTTTTGAGATTTTTCAAAATGGTTGTGATAGACTTCTTCTGGGGTTATACTGGGATTTCAAAGAATCAATAATGTTTTGCCAAAATGCATTATTAGTTGCTTGTAGTGCTTTTAATCCACCTTTTGTCAAGGTCTACATTTTATTATCACCGATTCTGACTGTTCACTGAGAAAAAGCACTTTCTACTTACTCTTCAAGAAAATGAATCCAATCAAGTTATTATTCGAACTCAGACTGTATTTTTAAATAAAAGTCTTTGAAATTACTCCAGTAGGTTTTAGGATAATATGTCACAGGATTATATCCACTTATTGTGTCTAAGTTCTCAGTGATGACAGCAACAAACAATAAGAAAAACTTATAGTCCCAATATTACCAATTTTAAATTAATTATCCATNAATATTAATTTTATTAAACAAATTATTTTCATGGAGTTCATGCAAGTACATACAATTTTCGAAATAGAAATACAGAACATTTTATAAAAAATCTGATCAAAGTATATCTCCAGGTAAAGTGGGGTTAGCAAATGATCTCACACCTCCAGGTAACCCTTTGATGAATTAACTGTTACTTTTAACTGCTTTATTACTCCCCCCTTGATTGAGTAAGTCTTGAATCAAGGGGCATCTCTAGGAAGAGGTGGGGTAAACAGAATTTCTCGCTTATCCAGGTATCCCTTTGACTATTTGTCACTTTTAATTGCTTGACCACTACCCACCACCCACCACACTAAAAATATTCATAAAATATCTGTTTACCTGTTCATCTGTTTACCCCACCTTTACCTGAAGGATAGGTGGTTATACTTCGATTATATATTTAATAAATCTTCCTGTAATTGTACTCAATGAAAACGGAATTTGTTACAAAATAATTTTGATGAAGTTGTATTATCACACTATGAATTCTCAGATTTGATAGAATCTGTCCATTTGAAGTTTTGTAAAAGGTTACTCATAGTTTCAGACAGTGCATGGACAGCGGCAGTATTAGATATCCAGTGAAACGACATATAGATTATCATACAAAATATAATAATTATTGGGTTAGACTTTTTCCAGTTCCAAGGGCATGTTATAATCTAGTGTTAGAGCTTGACAGAAGTGGTAGGAAAACATGGGCAAGTAATGTTAAGCAACTACTCTATTCGAGAGCTCGCATACGGAAAAACCAAGGTTGTAAAAATGTTACAGGTTTCTTAGAATTATTCAAGCAACTGACATTATAGTTAGCAAAACTAATATGCCAAAATTCACGAATCTGAGAAGCTTAGAACGTTTAAAAGGATCTTGACGAATATCTTTTCACTGTTACTGTGGCTGAACACAGAAGATGTTTGTGTAAATTTAGAATATCGAGTCACGATTTACCGGGTACAATGATTGTAGAAAAGGGACGCTATAACAGCACAGAGGCAGAAAATAGATTATGTATCTCTTGTTTTTCAAAAGGATATACATGTAGTTATGTCGAAAACGAGATCCATGTCCTACAAGAATTACATTATATACAGACAATAATAAAACAGTACATGCCAGATATACAAACAATGACCGTAACAGATGCTATTTCTTCGGGAAACAGTGACTTTATAAAATGATTGGCAGCTTACTTATATCGTTGTAACAAATAAGAAAAAATTATAACAAGGCCATTGGATAAGTGGACTTCGTGTATATCTTTATTTTCATATTTATATAAAAACGTTTGTTCCATCCTATAAGCTAAAGTTTTGAACTATGCACTCTGGGTCTGAAGGCCTGAAATACGAAATAAACTTAAAACTTGAAACTTGGTAACTTTACTGCACGTAAATGGGAACCACATGCATACACTACAAGGTGCAACGGAGGACGCACAAGTTTTGACAGGGTGTGGACATTTATAACAACTACAGTCTGAAACACCAGGCGACTTGAGGCCTTACCCTGTGATATGGGTACCTACCGTTGTAACATGCAAGGGCGAAAACTTAGGCAAACCGTACATTTTCATATACAGACCTGTACATATGCACTGTACATGTACCACATTATCGAATCATGTAAACGCTAGCAGAAGATATTTTACTCACAAATTTTTTCTTCAACCATATGGTTCCACCAAACGTGTACACAATGGGTCCGAGCTTCAACGATGAAGAAAGTGTTCGGCTCAGTGACTTCACCACACCTATAAATGCAGGTCATCTTGCTACAAGGTCTAGCTGTCAAATGACCAGCCAGGAGCATAGCTCGCACTGTGATGCGTGATTTATTGTTATGCAAATTACAACAGGTACAGACTACGGCACATTTTGATTGAGGAGTTGTTGTGGAAATCGGTCTCAAAGAACGGCGAATCTTTAAAATATTACTGTATTATTGTGACACAGCTAAAACCATCCATAATATTTCTCAAGGACAACAGTTTATATATGAAATCAAAATTTGAAAATAACAATGAAGATTCTATCTTATATCAAATCACATATTAATATGTCTTTCAGTATTGCAAAATTCACACTGTTCTGTTTCTTTTTAAAATTTTCAATAAGACAGACATTAGTAAAGAATATTCTATGATTTTTATTCTAAATTGAAGCGTCTGCAGTTTTATGTCATCTGCTTCTTGAAAGTGGGATCTAAATACCTATCAGTTGCCAGTTATCATTATTTCAATGTCTTTTTTTAATATTCGCGTATCATGTACCTACACTTTAATCTGGTGATATTATAAGGCCTTGGGGAGTTTTTCTTTTAATATCAGGATAGTTTGATAGTTTTTTTAAACGAGTCAATTGTTTCATATGATGTGATGGGTAGAGATAGTTTTACGAATTTTTCGTTGAGTTGCTCTAGAGACAGGAAATTCTCAACGTCATTTATAATATCATTAATGTAAAATATACCATCTTTACACTATCTTTGATGGAAAAGAGCTTTTTTCATTTATTTTAATTTTTGAGATTTTTCAAAATGGTTGTGATAGACTTCTTCTGGGGTTATACTGGGATTTCAAAGAATCAATAATGTTTTGCCAAAATGCATTATTAGTTGCTTGTAGTGCTTTTAATCCACCTTTTGTCAAGGTCTACATTTTATTATCACCGATTCTGACTGTTCACTGAGAAAAAGCACTTTCTACTTACTCTTCAAGAAAATGAATCCAATCAAGTTATTATTCGAACTCAGACTGTATTTTTAAATAAAAGTCTTTGAAATTACTCCAGTAGGTTTGAGGATAATATGTCACAGGATTATATCCACTTATTGTGTCTAAGTTCTCAGTGATGACAGCAACAAACAATAAGAAAAACTTATAGTCCCAATATTACCAATTTTAAATTAATTATCCGTGGGACACATTACAGGACTTTTCCACTAAGGAAAAATTGTTAAGTTTTCTAGCACCCTCAACCATTTTTCACAGAGAATGAGCCTATGATGGCTTGACATTATGATTTTGTATCTTTTATAGGCAGTGTTATCAAATAATATGTACACAGAAGAGCTACATATTCTGGTTTTCTTAGTCGAAAATATACCAATAAAAAACAGCCCATTTTCTGAGGGAGTGTATGCCCAATTTTAATGAAATGCATCCAAGCCTATACCATTCTAGACAGCCGAGCATACAACCCGAACACAAAGTAAAGAAAAAAATATTTATATTGTTTTTGAAAATAATATAAGTATCTTAGATAAGCCGATTTCATAAATCATTATGATATCTCTCTCCAACAATATGCCATTTTAAAGATTATGAACTGTACATATGAACCCATCCTTACCATCATACTCTTTAAAGGAATACTACAAGAAAGACAACACTATGGTATAATAATATCATTTATTTTCAACAATTTAAGTCCTCTCCATCTAACAGACACTTAATATACAGTGTCTTCAAGATCCATTTTGTTAGGGAAAATAATCATACAATTGCAGCAAAATTGAACGAGGCATTATTCTGCCACATATGATATAGTTTTGTTTCAACTGTTTTCTTTTCTAATTTGTACTTCATCAAGGCAAGAACAGACGCTTCTGCCAAAACTTATCATAATACATCTATTTTTTTTTCACAATGCCATTAATCTAACCCTTGCTGTAATACAAAGAACATTTTGAAAGAAAAATGTTACCCAACAAAACTCATCATTGGTGTCCCAAGGAACAGATGAGGTTAAGTCTTGTTTCTCTCATTGAGAGTATGCAAATCTCTCAGTGAATTTTAGGACTTGTACTGTTTTTTTATAAATTCAACAAATATATTTCAAGATATACCTTCCAAACAGTAAAGGAAAAAATTACACCAATGCAGTAATGGCGCTTTGGCAAGTAGCAGAGTCACCTTTCGTTCTAACCCCATTTTCAATACTGAGCATCTTGATATCATGTACCCAGATTTTGATAAGAATCCAATCAGGATTTCAGGAGCTCCAATCCCTTCCACATTTACCAATCTATATATATTACATTACATATAAATTATGTGAGGTGCCACAAAGGGAAGTTTATACATTCTTACAATTAATGCACATTTGGTCCAGGAATGTGGATTTTGATGACATTTGTATACTGTCAGTTCATTTTTTCGATGAGGTCTTTTTATCCAGCTCAACAAGACAGTTTAAATCTTTGCCAGTCCTGAAGTAATCTTGCCCTACACCTTTAAGTGACCATATCTCAAGGTGTGTCACCGTCTCCTATACCTATATAGACGGCAGAAACCTATAACTCCAAACATGACCTGACACACCTTCTGGTACAGTATACAATTTATTTAAACATTTATTCATCATGTAATATATCTATAACCATTACTTGGGAAACATAATTAAATTGTTGAGAACTTAATCTTATCTAAGTTCATGAAAAGATATCTATACATCCATTATGATCACAGTTATCACACCTGCCCGTCTTACTTTGGATTATCCTGTGTGTGAACACACAATAATATTGATGCAATACACCATGACATGATTTAATTTAGTAGTGTGTCAGGCAATCCAACAGCTCAGATGACCTTGACACCGATCAAGAGGCTTCCAAGTCTGTGCACTCCTGACAAATCTTTCAATATGTTTTCAGGTGCCCTGTATGCACTATGTGATAAACTTAGTGCACATATTTTGATAACCTTGAATACCTGTGACGGACACTGTAGCAACTACAGGTAGGTTTTTATTGAAAAAAATGGAAAATTAATACAACAAACTACTTTGTTGGACACTGTTCATGACCTATAGTTATTCAAAGCCACCAAGACCCACCCAAACAAGCAAAATTTAAGTCCTGAGTAAAAAAAAAAAAAAAAAAAGTGTTTGTCAATGTCTTTGATAAAAGGTTAATATTAATTTGCAGCAATTCTCCTTTAAATATCAAATTGACACAAACTGGTAGACTTGACAAATCTTAAGACTTAGAAGCTGTTCTGATTTGTTTTTTATAGGTCTTGCAGCAACGGAAGACTGAGGCACAGAAAATACTGTTCCATTATTATGTCCATTTCTATATAAGCCACTTACGAAAAAAGAAAACTAATTTACAATCAGCAGAATCAGGAGTTGCTCAAAATATCAAAATCACAATCTATGGCAATACATTGTTGTGCTCACATTAAATTGCCTGTGTAATTTTCCATTTCAGTCGTTGCAAGTTAGTTTAAGCCTGTCTTGGGAAAGCGCCATCTACACACAAGTGTATTGGAGTAAGATGACACTCACCTGCTGAAAAGCATTTTTCATGGGTGTGTAACATGTATATTTCTTTCGTACACAGTAGGGGTTGCCCTGTTCCGCACATATCTACTAAAGATTTATTATTAGTATTTTACCTTCAACCCCAAGTCTTCCAATACTGACAAAAAGTTGGTCATCATAAAAAGAGTGATTATATCTTAAATAAATAATTTCCTCCTCATGTCCCTCATCTGCCTCATTTTTTCAGTTATACTAAATCATTCAATTCTGCATCTTAAGATGTTCTTTCATTTTACATATATATATTTATATATGTACTATTCCCTCGTTTCCTCTGTATTTGTTCACACTCATTGGCCTTACTTCAATTTCCAATATTTTGGTTTCAGTTTCATTTAAACCAAACCATTCTACATATCTTGTATCTAGTTGTTTTGATCCATTTTATTTAATTGAATTTTTCCTTCATTATCTTCTTAGTTTTCTGCTTTTGTCTCAATTTGTCCACTTGACTGATTCCACATTCCCTATTCCCATGAAACCCCATGTCTTTGCTAGTTTCCCAGCAATATAAAATATCTTTATGCAGTGCATCCATTTTGAATTATGAGCATCAGTTCGTTTTTCACCGCCAACACACAAGACTTAAGTCCTATGTCACATGATCTTCACATGACAGCCACATGATCGATACTATCGAGGAGGAGGAGGTGGTGGAGCTTGTTGTCTCATGTTTGCTGTAAAATAAAGAGGTATATTTAAATATTCAATGTTACAGACAAAGACCATAATTTGCTACTTTTCCAACAGGTCTTGAAATTTTATTATTACTGATATTGTCTAAATCAGTTTAAGAAAATTCAACTAAAAAAATTTCATCTTTGGTAAAGTTTACATCACTCTGATCCATTTTTTTTTGCCCTATATGATATAGAATTAAAACAAACAAGAAAAAAATATCCTAAAATTAAAATGGTTTCTTTTTTAATTCCAAAATGGGTCATCAATCATCAATCAACATACAATTTGTAATGCAAATTTATGAACATTTATAATCAAAACCAACAAGAAGATACCCCCACCCCCCCATTTATCAATGTCCATCCTCAAATGTCAGCTCAACCCAAACCCATGACATAATGTTGGTTTGTATTCAATCATCATACATGGGTAATTTTGCATATTTAATGCAAACAGGCAAACCCCAAGGACACAGGTTGTATTTTCTTCTCCTTTCTTTCTTTTGCATTCAGAGATAGTGAGCACATATATTTAAGTAGCAGGAAGATGTATGCATTTGCTACCACTGATCGTGTTCAAATTAAATCACTTTTCAAATCCAACCATGCATTTTGTGAAGCAGATTTTCAATACAGAAGCCTATGGCAAAGGTTAGCATGATATCAGTATGCCAAACACAAAGAAGGTGAAGAAGTTATTTGAATTCAAAGCAAAAAGAAACACAAAACAGCCAATGAATGTGTGATACAAAACAAGAAAAAGTTGAAAAAAAAAAAAAAAAAAAAGAAGAAGGGGGAGGGGATAAAATGTTAAAGCTTATATGTTAAAGAAGTGGCATTTGACTAGAAGTTCTTTACAATTAATTACAAAAAAGTAAGCAACATTAGAGTGTAAAACAAAGCTTGAAGACAAAAAGCAAGGAATACACACGAGGAAGTCAGAAAAACATTTATTTTATGCACCAAAACAAGAGAGCATTTCACATATACCTGTATCTGAGGGATCAAAATCAAACCCTGAATTGAAAGTTTCATACTTGTCAAGGGTTTATTTATAATTTTTCACAAAGTCAACTAACTTTAAAAAAAAAATTGTATACACACTTTTAAATATCATGAACAAAAGATTTCTTGGTGAAAATCTTTAATTTTGTCCAAATCTGATGAGCAATTACCATCACTCAAACATTTTCAGAACAGAAGCAGTTAAATCGTACAGAAAAAAGGCCTAAATGTTATCCAAGTACAAGCAGTCACAGAGAGCAGTACATGCAGAGAAGTCTGAAGTGATTCACAGTGAAACATAAATACGGTACACAGTAAGTAAATAGATCGCAGAGCAAACTACTTAAATATAGTACAGCAGCAAAGCACTCACTTGAAATAAAGGTAATTTTTTTATGTTAAAAAATTGTGCCTATATTTCAGCCTCAGGCAATGCAATATTTAAAACCTACAATGTCGCAAACTTTCTTTGTCAATCTGATGTTTTAATTTTCTTGCCCCCCCCCCCTTAAAGATTACATAAAAGGCCCACATAACAGAATAAAAAAAAAATTATAGAGAATTATATATATAAAGAATTTAGCTTTCATGCATTCTGCGTCAAGATGCTATCACAATGTGCCAAAGTTCTAAAATGTTATTTTGGTTGAAAACCTTTAGTCGGGACAAATTCCTAATAATGAAACCCCAATGCAAGCTGGGATACCTACCAGGATTCCTTGGGTTTTTACTAGGATAGGTACGCGTAACTTTCTGGAAAGGCTCTGGAGGTGGAAGCACATTGATATTGTGGAACTCAAACCGGGATTCAAAGTCTGGAAAATAATTTTTAAGCATTCAACTTGACTATCATTTGTTTAGGAATCCAGGCAAAGATCAGGACTATCTGGAAGTTGTTCATCTGTTTACTAACTTACTCCAACCAAACAATTATTTTACATACAAAACTTGTTACTAAATAAAAACATGATAATTTTAATATGGGGGTCTCAAGTACTAAAGACATCTGTCCATACTCTTTACAATACAGGCTAGTGGGACTAACAGCTATTACTTGTCTAGGATAACATTATATTACATTATTGTATTACCCATGGCACATACCATCATTTACTATTCCTGAAGTCCTGGCCGCGTTCCTTGTGGGAGGGGGTGGGGGAGGGGTATTTCTCACTGGGGGTGGGGGAGGGGGTGCTGAGCCTGCAGCACTTCTCTGGGGTGGAGGAGGGGGCCTGTTAGAGGGGGGTGCTGATGGAGGCGGCGGCCGTCCTAATGTCCCCGTGTTTGGTCTATTTGAGGGGGGTTGTGTAGGGGGTGGAGGAGGGGGTGCAGTAGCAGACCTAGGGGGAGGAGGGGGAGGGGGTTGAGACCTCGCAGGGGGTGGAGGTGGTCCCGGCCTAGAACCTCCATCACTGCCTTGCACAGGAGGTGGCGGCAGCGGCCTGTTCTGCATATTTGGGTTAGCTTTCCTACTCCCTCTGTTCATTGGACTGGGGGGCGGAGGGGGTTTATTCTGACTGTGTGAAGGTGAGGCTGGGGGGCTGGCCACTGGGCCATTGGCCCTCATTTTTGGACCTCCTGGTTTCTTCTGTGAGGGTGGTGGTGGCGGAGGTGCCGCATCCGCCCTCATAGGAGGCGGTCGACTCGTAGGTGGCGGCGGAGGTGGTGTGTCTAATCTTCCGCCAGGTTTATTTGTTGATGGTGGAGGTGGTGGTGGCGCGGCATTGGGCACCCTGGCAGGTGGCGGTGGAGGCGGCTGTCCTCCCGGCCTCCCTACTGGTGCACTAGAACTATCACTTGTTTGTCTATTAAACTGAGGCTTTTGTCCACTAGGTGGCGGTGGTGGCACACCTGGCTTTGAAGGTAAAGATGGCGGCCCTTTACTAGGAAGTGCGGGCCTGTTGTCAATAGTTCTATTTGCATTAGCGTTTATTGTATTATTATTATTTACTGGAGCACCAAACCTCGGTTTAGAGGCTGAAGAGGGTGGAGGCGGAGGACCTCCTATATGATTACTTTGTCCGTTTTTGTTAGTATTTGTCTGTGTATTAGGTGCTGGCTTCTTGAATCCTGAGGGCTTTAGTGCAGGTCCACCATCTGGAAAGATACAAATCAATATTACATTAATTGTTATTTTTAGATAAGATCCTTACTCTACCAACTATGAAATTTCTTTTTTCTTTTCATTTTTTTTTTTTGTGTGTTGCTTATCTTGTTCATTTTTTATATAAACAATGTAGCTGAAGCATTAAGTCGACACATGCTAAAACAGGTTATCACAATTTCCATGGCCTACTTCCTGGTTCCCCTGTCTGTTGCTAATGACAACCATCTTGTGTACTGATCCGTAGCTATCATAGGCAATGTACATGTGGCAAATTCCCCATCAAATGATGAAATCTTATCTACAAGATTGACAAAACAAAGCAAGCCCCTACCTTCTGATCCCCCCTTTTCACTCAAATGTGGATCCTTTTATGTTAATATGCCCATGCGTCTTTCAAAATTGCCTTAAAAGTTTTAACTCTTCAAAAACTTGGATTAAAAATAGACACTGCCAGTTTTTTTTTTCAAGCAAGGTTATATGTGTCTATGTAACTCATAATACTAGAGCCTTCGATACACAATTATCAATCTTTTCTTCTTTTTTTTTTTTGATTGTTCAAAAAACAGGCACAAAACTACCCAACATCTCAAAGTGGAAAAAATTCACACGACCTAGTAAATCTTACCTATTGTTCCTTGTTCTTTTAACCAAATAAATGCACAAAATCATATCTACATCTTGTTACTATCCTTCAGAAGCAGGAAGTGGGCCACTAATTGTGATAGATCATGAGATNAAAAAATTGGATTAAAAATAGACACTGCCAGTTTTTTTTTTCAAGCAAGGTTATATGTGTCTATGTAACTCATAATACTAGAGCCTTCGATACACAATTATCAATCTTTTCTTCTTTTTTTTTTTTGATTGTTCAAAAAACAGGCACAAAACTACCCAACATCTCAAAGTGGAAAAAATTCACACGACCTAGTAAATCTTACCTATTGTTCCTTGTTCTTTTAACCAAATAAATGCACAAAATCATATCTACATCTTGTTACTATCCTTCAGAAGCAGGAAGTGGGCCACTAATTGTGATAGATCATGAGATCCCCTTGGGGTTACCATTATCCAATCAATACAAGCTCACCCCATCCTGACCTCATTGTAAACACGGCTGATAACAGGGCATGACATGAGTATTACCATGTTATACTAGATGGCCGACAGACTACTACTGGGCCCCTTCTAACACAGCAAATTTCAACTAAATGCTAAAAAATTAATAAGTAGATTAAGATATACAAAAAAGAAAAAGAAAAAAAATCTGGCTGGGAAAAGATTTTAAAATAGCTGATGGTATGATGCACGTGTCAAATAAATCCTTGATCATCAAATCCAAATCAGTAACAAGAAGCATATACATAATTTTCTCTATTGTAAAAACAACTGCACGTATTGCTTTCAAAGTTTCTGCCATTTCACTGTCAGTTCATAGATATGTGTGAAAGTTAAATACTAATACAAGTAATTAAACATGATGTATCATATACTCACATATCACACACTTATATAATGAATATATGTGACTGAATAAATTATATTAAAACACAAGAGTTGCACCAGGGCCAAGCCAAGTTACTTCTCCCTCTGCAAAATCTAGATCTTAATTTTGCATGTGGGAAGAAAATATATCAACATATCACTTCTCAAATATTTGGAGGTAAATTGACAAAATATGTCATCGAGGGGGAAATCTTGTGAAATGCTGTCCAACAAATCCACAGCTCCAGAGAGTAGCAAAACAGAGTAATGCTTGACTCAGAGACTAGATCCACTGTCTACAGACCCTGATCTAGGTCAAAATAACCATTTCACCATCTTATCTAGACACCAAGGAAAAACTTATTTCATAATGCTCTAGACAGATAAACCTGAAAATCCTCTTCTTACTTGTCTTACTTCTCAGATATCATATAGCTCGTGATCTTGTCCTAGGTCTGCTTATCACTCAAAACTTCCTCCCTAATCACATTGAAACCTTGTTATTACCAGGGCACAGGCAGTTTATCTAACCTTGAAACTATGACGGCATGTTTTGGTGAAAATGACTCAAGATTGGATCAAGTTACGTAATTGCACTTTGACTCTTCTGTGACAGCAACTGTGGGGCCTTGGTGCGATAACTTGCTTTAGGGGTATTGGAATTAGTTTGGGGAGTTGAAAATACGCACAAAAGTTAATAATGACCCACATTCGTATTTCTCTACCCATACATCTCACTTACCATCTAAGGCCACATTCACAACCAAAGTTGATCTGCAGACTAACAGATTCGCAGATCAAATAATGCCAACCCACTCGAAAGCTTGCCATATTATCTATTTAGTGTCTATGAGGGGATTTTGCAGCAAGCTTTCAAGTGGGTCGGCCATATTTGATTTGTGGATCTGTTAGTTCACAGATCAACTGGTTGTGAATGCAACCTTATTGTATAATGTGAATGCTACTCACTTCCTACAGGTCTAAGCTTTGGCATTCCACCAGCAAATAAGCCTCCTAATCCGGAAGGTGCTCCACCCCCAAAACCTCCACCTCCTCCTCCTCCTCCTCCTGGTCCACCACTGCCTCCGCCTGAGTTTGATTGGCTGGCTGTAATAGAGGTTAATGTCACACAATGTTAAAATTAAAGACATTAGAAAATTATTTTAAAATGTGAAATTGTTTTTTAAGGCTGAGTGCAATGTAATAGGCATGCATGAATGGTGTTACTGTATAAAATAAATATCAGCCGACACAGTAATGTAACACGACTTTTTGGACCAAAAAGGACAACCCTCCTTACAAGTGAGACATTATCATTCACATTAAACTTCGAACACTTCTTTCTTGCATGTGCAAAAATTACAGGTTAGACTGTGTGAATATACAATGTGCTGCAGTTTACATTTTTGTACAATAAAGAGTTGTGTACTTCTAAGATTGAAAAATACAAGTTTGACATCAATATTACCCATTAAATACTTAAGACTGTTTCCAAATACTAACTGTGATTTGAAATGATGGTTAATGGTGATGTTTCCGATTTCCAGAAAACTTCATTTTCACAAGTATATACCATTAGTGAAATATATAATGATATATCTAGCAAACATGCAAGCTGGATTAATACACCCATGCATTGTGCTGGTTAAGCCCATCTATCTACTTTTCTCTAATGACAGCATTATATAAAGAAAGCAAAGCCAAATTCTGAAAAGCAATTCTAAAATTCATTGAACAAAATTCTGTGCATCACGAGGCCCACCATCTAAAATGAAAAATGAAAAAAAAAAAAAAAAAATCATAAAAAAACATGTCGACATGTTTAACTTATAATAAGCACTTCATTTTCTTCTTCAAATCTGGAATAACAAATGCAACCAATATTTTAGTAATTATTAATTAAAAAATTGATTCTCGATATTCTTAAAAAGGGGTTTAATTGTCTAAGCTTTTTACTCCTGCCGTGTTTCCAAATAATTTGGATCTGCCCAACTTGATATTACCAATCACATCACCATAGAGGAAGCCAATCATAGGGCACATATCAATTGAAACGGTCTACGTAGAGAGATCCTAAATTGCAGGGACTCTGGTTGAATGCAAGGGCACGCTTCCTCTTGGTATTAAGTTAAATACAGAAAATTTGGTGATTATTGCAAGCAGGTTTGAAACAAGAGTTGGTGTGTCATTTAATTAAGCTGCTTGCACTCCACGAGTTCCCACAGAGTTGGATCTATGTAGACTGGTGATGTCTATGGAAGTGGTGTCTAACAGTAAGAAGCTTTCCTCAATTTCTGTGTTACTTAAGAGCAATAATACATATAGTGCATGTGATTACATTTACGGTGACAGTCTTTGATGAACTTATTGTAAACTGCAGTCCAGCTGGGATGGGCTGTACTAATTTACTTCAAATCCACCTGACTGAATGAATTTAAAAGTCAAAGGTAAACCAATCATAAACCCAGCAGGTAATTCATACTCTGGCAACTCATTACAGTTTACAATTGCTGAAGGACAATGTGAATGCATCAGTTGAGAAAGCCATGCATTGTGCTGGTTGAGGCAACTGTTAGGAAGCCTGTTTAATAATCTGATGTTTGATCTAAAGGTTGATGTGCCACATATCCATCATTTTAAAAATATTTTGAAATGCACTGTGACTACAAAATGCTACAGGCACCCATATCACACCTCTTTGGGAAGAATATCCTTAGATTGGTCAGTTAAGTATCTTCATGGACAGAATCAATTTTCTGCATACTTTTTGTGCAGTCTTGTCTTTTATGTTACATCTGGGATAATTTATAGCCCACAAGTAGTTACTTCATCAAACACAGTGATATCTGATAAGACACAATGCATCCAATGCATCAACAATAAACTCCACAATACGACGACTGAAAATTAAGCCTAATTCCACTGCCACTGCAAACTAAAGAACACCACTTGATACCTCATTCACTGTATAATACACTTGGCATTCAAAAATAAAGTTGGAAATAAAGATAATTATAACAACAACGTATACTGGCATGCAGGACTGCATTTTCGCAAACTGGGAAATGGAAACTAAAAATGAAATACTGGTAAAATAAAGAACATCTTAATTAGCAGACAAAGAACTACATAAGGGACCATATTCAAATTATGTTGCCCTTCCATTTTTAATGAAAAAATATTAATTCTATATAAATGCATGTAATGCTCTTTTCATGGACATATGGACATCAGATTTATGTAAGCATGTTTGTGTTCACAACATACTGACAGTGACACTCTAAGACACTGCAACCATATGTTCTGTTTTTTGCTTCATAAAGTCCAAAATCATCTTTCAATACAACACAATTGATTATGGTCCCCTTTACAGCTTCCTCAACAAGATCACGCCCACAAACGCCACAAACTCTACAACTGTTGCATTGTGGGTACCAGGATACAATCCCGAGTCAGCCATCCGCGCCAGGTCACTCTCGCTGTAATTAGTCTTCATGGATGTGTTAAAGGACCCATTAGGTTGCGCACCCTCCGTCGGAGTGCTTGGTTTTCTAATGTGTGGAGGTTTCACTGGAATGCTAGGTTTTTCTGAGGTTGGGGGTTTAGACGTAGGGTTTAATACCACTTTTATGTTTTTTTGAGATCCTACACCTGAAATTTTGTGGAGGAAATACTTGAAAGTCAGTGGTAAAAATCTAGTAAATAAAGCAATATATGTAAAAATATACGTCTTGAGAAATGAAATGAAATAAAAAAATACATGTACTAAAAGGTTACACGACATGTACTTCACAGATTACACGGAAAATGAAGATAGCTGATAAGTGTAAAAAGATAAATGTTTGTATAAAGTTCTAAAAACATTTAAGTATAAAAAAGCTAACAATATATAGAACAGCATGTAACAAAAGTAAATTCACATACTATTGAAATAAACAATATATTTAAAGCAGGCATGAGATCACCTATTTTGGTAAATTGTCTAAAAAGAAATAGTTTACAGTTCTTCAAGATTATAAGTGCCTTAATTTTCTCAATGTTTGTNAAAAAAACTAACAATATATAGAACAGCATGTAACAAAAGTAAATTCACATACTAATGAAATAAACAATATATTTAAAGCAGGCATGAGATCACCTATTTTGGCAAATTGTCTAAAAAGAAATAGTTTACAGTTCTTCAAGATTATAAGTGCCTTAATTTTCTCAATGTTTGTTAATGTTTCAAGCTTAAAGATTCATATCCAGTGGAAGTGTTCATAAACTGAAAACTTCTGTGAAAATGACATTTGTGAGCCTATACATTCTAACACACAAAATTCTGCAAAAAGAGAGATAAAAACATCAGAGCATACATAAAGAAGCAGAGATGTAAATCTATTGCTTTTGCACTGAAATGTGAAATTTTTAATAAGCTGAAAAGCTTGGCATGTGGGTTTTGAACAGGGCTTCCTTGTAGCTGAGAACTTGCTGACAATATGTTTTATACAAGCTTCACATTTTATCAAGGAAAGACATGAATAAATGGAACATTTTTGCTATGTTTCAGTTGGATTCTTGGGAGTTTGGAATCTTTCTTATCATGGATGGAAATGCATCTTTTTACTTAACTCATTATTGCACTATGTAGGCACATTTAAGGTTGAATCCAGGTCTCGGGCATTTGAATTAGGCAATCATTTATAGAGATTAATGGTCTTTGTTTCACGTAAAAATAAAGTCACGATTCCAGTCAAGTTGAAAGGACAATCTCAACAGGTGACCTGATTCTAACTGCCTGACACAGACGGCAAATTTTAATATCACTGATGTGTGGTCCAAAGTTCATACACCATCAGATAATCGTCCTATGCCGAGGTGGTAATCACCAGACTACCACCTGAGATTAATAATGCCAATTATAGTTATCCTAATTTGACTAGAAACACACCAATAATCCTAAATACGAAATGAATCCTAAAAAATCAATTGTTTTCCAGAAATTTTCTTTGCCCATTGTCAACTCGAGCAAACAATTAAATGTGAATTCTGACAGAGCATCAAAAGAAGCCCAATACCAGAAGTCAGCTAGGTTATCAGCCACACAGTGAAAGGTGACTTACTGACAAAGTAAGCCATGAAGATATTTTGTTATGACATTTTATTGCCAGTAGAAATTTATAGTCAGTTCAGGGCAGGAAGCAATAGGGTTTCTTAAAGCTACAGACGAAAGATCAGCAGAACTACAAGAGAGGAACTATGGGTTATAACCACTAACATCAGCTGTATGTACAGAAGATAGTATCTGGAAAACAGAAAGTTAGAACTGGGTCAGTCTTAATTCAAAGCGCCATCTATAATACAAGCAATTCATCAGTACCATCCTCTGCCTCCATGCTCTTTCTCTGCATCCATGGCACAGGGGGCTTGACAGGCTTATGGTGGCTTGCTACAGTTGAAAATGGTTTCAAAGCCCCCTTTGGGGTCATTGGGGCTCCACCCATATGACCTATATTATTGCCTATGCCTCCTGATTTTGGCCCTATGTGAAGAGGGATTAAATAAAAATATTATGCATTTTTAAACATCACATTCTGTGAAAATCAGACAAGAGAAGATGTTCATAATGATGGGAGATTTGCCAGAATATTATCTTAGTTTTAACTCCCATGCAAAAGAACATATCAACTACTAAAGTGTAGTCCTAAAAACATAATTCTGATACCATACAGAACAATTCATACACTGGAATATTTCAAACCCTGAAACAAAAAAGTCTTTACAAATATAAAAGTATTCTGTTACTTCATGTTAACTGACGGATAAAAATGTCACTCAGGGCACATTCCCATAGACACCTATGTAGTCTATGTAGATCTATTTAACTTTGTGGGGACTCTTGCTGAGTGCAATCAGCTTAACTTAATGACACGCTTCCTCCTGGTATTGAGTAGAATCTACAGAAAAGCTGGCGATTACATGAGTGCCTTGGAAACAAGAGGGGCATGTCATTCAATCAAGTTGTACTCAGTGGGAGTCACTGCAGAGTTGGATTGATGTATGTAGACGGCTGGTGTCTATGGGAAATTGGGTCTTAATTGCCAGAAATACTCTATAACATAAGCACAAAACATATTTCATTTTGACAGATGAAATATGTCCCAATATATAAACTCCCATGTGTTCAGTACTGTTAAGTGACACCAACTAGAGTACGTAGTGTCAAACTTGTGAACTTTACTGCAAATCAGCATGCAAGTTAGATCTATAGTTATCAAAGCAGCACTTTTGATTTTTTACATGCATGCCATTTTTATTCAAGAGATGGGTCATTTTACTAATCAATTTTATATAGTACTATTATTCGATCCATTTCAACTGTCCACATAATACCAAATACTACTACTACTTGATTTCCAAAACACATCTTTTTATCTATAATTTTACTATGTCCTAAAATTTATTCTATATATATAAATATACAGCATAGACTTGTGACCTATATATCAAAAACAGGTCACAATGACCTATATATCAAAATCAGGTCACAATGACCTATATCCTACCTTTAGAATCAGCCAAAGCAGGAGCACTCCTGTCATTAGTAACAGTCTTCTTCAGTTTCTTGCCTTGCTGTATAGAGCTAAGCAGTGCGCCTCTACCACCAGCACCACCGCCTCCGCCGCCTAATTTCAACTTTGGTCCCCCTGAAGGCGGGGGTGGGGGCCCTGGCGGGGGAGGGGGCCCCGGAGGGGGCGGCGGGGGAGGGGGCATCTTGGACTATAAAGGCACCCCTTTGATGCTTCTGAAAAGAAATAGATACAACACTTTAAGCACAGAATTGAAAGTGAACAATGAAAATTCCGAAAATGTAAACAACAAAGGCGGGCAACTTGAAATGGAGGATGCAGACACAAAAATACAACACCCAAATATTGAGATTTCGAGATAAATCCGCAAGATTTTCATTAGATAATAAATATCTTTAAACTTTAAGCTTGGGCTGGTAACACTGGATAATCCATATGCCATGCCTTAAACTAGAAAAATGTTCACTAGTTAACTCAATCAACCAGCAGATCACTGATGAATCAACAAGGGTAGATTCTTCCAAGTTAAGGGAATAAACAACTCTTATTTCAATGAAAATAGAGTGAAAACTTGACATGTCCCTATAAATGATGGACTTGCACTGTGTCATGATAGGACAAAAAGGGAAACATCTTAGACAGAAGCTCCCATCTGAAGATCAATTTTCATCAGTGATGAGCAAAAAGCTTGTTCTCTTTTACCCAAAAAGCTTGTTCTGTTTTGTTAGGTCCATTAGTAGCTTTTAGGTGAAGAGACCAATGCCATTTAGAAGAACTTATACAAATAAACACTGCCACTGTTCTGTCTCCATGGAACTTTAACTGGTGACACATTAATTGCAGGGGAAAGGAAGAACTTGCACACTCTTTCTCTATCTTTTTATTTCTCTCTCTCTCTCTCTCTCACACACATACGTACACACACACACACACTCATCCCTCCCTTAAAAAAGAATGAAAATTCAGGACAATGAATTGCAGCCATACACTCTCTTCCAAATAAAATCTTTGCTAAATAATCCTTATTTGTCTAGTGATAATCATTAAACTGTGCAAAATTTATACAAGAACAACCATTAACATGGTTCAAAAGTTTCTGTTTGCTGACATTCTCACCTTATATGCCTATAAAAAAAGCAATACTCGATTTAGCCCACAGCAGGCAAAATATGAAGAATCTTACAAAACTGAAGCTCTGAATCATGGGGTTAAGATGTACATAAGTGTGGTGCAAATGAAAGGAAATGACAACATCAGAAAATTCTGAGTACATTTTGAAGAGATCTGACATATGTATGAAGAGTAAAGTTCTTGTGCAGGCTGCGTTAACAATGTTAAACCCTGGCCTTTCTTGCATCATTTCCTCGCAGTGACATAAAAATCTAAATCTGTCAAGAGTTAGTAAGAGGAAACAGGCAGTGCGTAGGAAGGAAGAGTGACCCATGTTTCACAGCAAAATGGAAAAATTGTGACGATTCCTACTGGAGTAGGCTAGCATATTTCTAAGCATTCACCCCTCCCCCTCCCCCCAAAAATTCATTTTTAATAAATATACTATTACTTTGGCTTTTGCTTGTAAGTTGTACTGAAATGAGGAAAGGGGGGGGGGGGGGGGGGAGAGACTGGTACGAATCATACCTAGCCGCTTAAAATGTGTCAATAGTTTAGGTGACTATGCAATAATTCCCAAAAAATGACTGCTCTACCTCATTATAATATATACATGCTCACACATGCACATGTGCAAGCACGCGTCTACTCCCAGGGCAACGTCCATCAAATCAAAATCATCACCGACGAAGTCATTCAGTTATGAACACAGAATGCATCTAATATTTACAGAGTTTCTAGCAACATGTTACACATAATATGCAACAATCTAAAGGCTAATTAATTATACAATATAAAGACATTGCAGGGATTGATAAAGTATTCATGAACTATAAGAAACAGTTTCAATATTGCTGTGTTATGGTCTGAGTCACATTTAAACCATGAAGCTTCCTAATTCTACTTTCTATTTCCCTTCATCCTTTTTCTCTACTAATTCTACTAGGTTATAAATCTTTTCTGTCTGTCTGTCAGATTTTTTATAATTTTGTTTTGTGCATGTGTGTGTGTGTGTGTGTGTGAGAGAGAGAGAGTTAAAGCTCCACTGTAACATGGGTTATCTGATCACTTGGGTATAACTCTCTATCATTCCATTGTTTCATGACATCTATAATTCACTTAATTAATAAAATTTAATCCACTGGACTCAGACAAGATGGAAGATATAGCATTTGATCACATGGTCTTTTTCTTTCTGTATACTAGTACAGTACTTATATAGATCAAGAAGTAAAAGTCAAGTTCTCATCTTATATACTGCACCACAGATGCATCTCAGGGTGGTTTACAGATGCCTGGTCATTTCTGACCCTGATACAATCTGGACGTTGACGCTCTCGCCTCCCTGGGGAGGATACAGCCTAGCATGCCGTATAAGGCGTGGAAAGCTAGCAAACAACCAGTATCTCTTTCTCTGCAAGACCAGGAACTTTACTCCTGCTTCAACCCTTGGTGTTGAGTGCTGAGCAGGTAAAAATTATAAAGGAGGTACTAGTATATCCCCAGAGGGGACGAACCCATGTCCTCCCCTTCTGGAGGGAGACAATCTGACCACAAGGCCATCCGGAAAGTTCTATACCAAGAACTACATGAATAATCTTCATGTAATGAATAGATGTTTGGTTTCACTTCCATATGTGAAAGTAATTGAGTAGCTTTTTTTATTCAAATATTTGATCAGTGTTACTAGACAGCATTCAGGGCAAGACTCTTTCCAAGACAGACCTATCAGTAAAAGTTTTGAAATTCCACATACCAAATTCACAAGACTGACAACTAAACATCTATGTCTATTACATGTAAGAATTTTTTTATTAACTATCATTTTTGCTTATTTTTCCCAACAACTGAACATTACAGAATTTTGAGAATTTAAACTGAGTCATCCATGTATCAATCTTAATACTTCTCCCAGCTATAATTCTCAATCAATAATTGATGTCCTAAACAACATACTATGACCATTTTCATTAAGAATTCATCAGTAACAAAATATTACATTGTTTTTTCCCTTATACCTCCATTTCAAACATGGAAATTAACTTCACAAATACATTGTTATGACATTCGTTAGGTACCACCTGCATTGTCATATGGATGTTTTGCATTGTAAGTCAAGATTTTAAACCTAATACATTTCAGCGTTATCAGTACGTAGTACTTAACCTAACAACAGTCTGACTTCATCCTAAACTGGTTTATTTGCCAAGCACTCACCGGCTACCAAGTGACTCTAAAGAGACCCAGAAGTGGAATTATAACAATGCAAGAGTTTGTAATCTCGGTGATACAGGTGTACATATAATATATCATCAAATGATCAAGAATCGATATTTATAAATTCATACATTCCATTTTTGAGGAAGAGGCCTAAATGACGTGTTATTTAATCTAGTTATTTTGTTGACAAATTTTCGTGATGACTAAAATGAATAAATTATCTTAAGTTCATCAATCTGATGTTGAGAAAATAATGATTTATAAATAACGTTTTCAAGAAATGAAGGTACAAGCCATAGGTTAACTAGAGGATCAGAGAGGCGATACCGCCTCCGAATATTGTACCACCAGCTGGAGCAAGCGCATTTGTATAGACCCCCACANAAGAGATGGGTATGGAGCCCATTACCGTCTAGGAGGAGAAGCGGTAACGGTGACTTGGCGGCGGAGCCGCAGGAGCCGGCGGAGCCGGCGGAACATACGGGTCGGGACTAAAACCATGAGTACCGCCAGCGCCTACGCTGGTGGTACAACTAATTGTGGAATCAATATGAAACATCTAATTAAGTATAATAATAAATACAACCATTTGCCAAAAATTTATTTACTGTGGAAATAGTTGCCAGCTTTTCTGTGATTCAATTTCCTTGAATAAATTGCACACACACACTGTTTTAACACATGCTTTGAACTAATTTCATTTTCCTATGCACTGATGATGCATACTGACGCGGATAGAACAAAAAAATTACAATACATATGTCCTCATTATCTTCATATTTATGGTGACTATGACAATGGAAGAAAGACCAATTTCAACAGAAGAGATGTATACATTTTGAGCTAATTGCAACCAACTTGGTCCAGTTTATCAATAATTATGTCTGAATGGATAACCAGCTGCAAGCCTATGAAGAATCAATACTCTAATTAGCAAGCTGTATTAGCATCACAAGATACCAGTGGCTATTATAAGCTAATGGAGTCATCTTGGGAAGTAAAACATTGTGATGTTTATTTATGCCAATGCAAATTAAAAGTTGAGAGCAGCACATGTAACCTGACCTGTGAAGAGCATTGAGCNATGGATAACCAGCTGCAAGCCTATGAAGAATCAATACTCTAATTAGCAAGCTGTATTAGCATCACAAGATACCAGTGGCTATTATAAGCTAATGGAGTCATCTTGGGAAGTAAAACATTGTGATGTTTATTTATGCCAATGCAAATTAAAAGTTGAGAGCAGCACATGTAACCTGACCTGTGAAGAGCATTGAGCACCACTTCTGCAAGACTGTACTTTTGTGAGAGTCTTGAGTAGCAGTGTGTGTGTGTGTGTGTGTGTGTGTGTGTGTGTGTGTGTGTGTGTGGAGGGGGGGGCAATTATCACTATACGCTACATAAAGAATAAAATCCATTTGAATTTTCTATTCACACAGGAAGAGAGTGAAACCGCCCTGCGTGTGTTTCAGAGATTAATGAATTGCAACATTCACACTGCTGACAGTGAAGGTTCAGTTCCCAGTAACCTGTAAATCACAGGGTCAAGGAAACATACAGAAGACATCAAGCTTATTAATGTAATGAAGACATATTTGACAGATAGGAAAACTCAGCACAGAGGTCAAAATCAGATAGGACTTTTCACAGGGCAATTCAGAAATAAGAAGAGTTACATGCATACTTACAGATGCAATACACAAAAGATGTTGCCAAAGGTTCATTCAGGTATAATCAGCACAGAATAAGAAACTTTTCTACCCCCCCCCCCCTTCTACTGTTGATTTTAATCATTAACTTTTTAACTCTCAACTTAGCACGGTCTGAGATGAACTTTGTAATCCCTGCAACTTTGGAGCTGGTATTTAAATATTTACACTCGCTTGACATGACTTTTCTCCCATGAACAAATTCTGAGGTCTTATCACCATAAAAGGTTACTTGCTGTTAACAGGCTTGAGATCTACATCTTATTCTCAAGTTAATCTAGCAATTTCACACATTTTTTTAAAGTGTTGAGCAGGGAGGGCAACTGGTGGACAGTTAATGTAATGGTAGTATAAGTAAAATAAAAGCTACAAATGCATTAAATTTTCCACAATAACCGATACAGTAAAGGAATTTTATGTTCAACTCCTTTTTTGTTTAGACATTTAGCCAAATCTCTTCTTCCTAGGTTTGGGCAGTAGTAAGATTCCACAGCATTTAACAAAATAATTTCCAAGAAGTTTTACAGACACGTACAAAATTTGGGTGATCAGCATTCTAATTTTGTCTATGATTTTGTAAGAGAAATGTAACCAATTTGCCTTAATTTGACACACTGGCATAACTGATATAGCAATTTATGGACAATCTATTGGAAATAACAACACACCTTTTCACTGAGAAAAGGCACGTGCATGCAAAAAAACATTTATCATTTCATCAAACAATAAATTGCCTTTTAAATAATTTTCTATCAAGAGATCTAGGGGTAATTTGGAATGATTAAAGGTCAGCATCAAACCCCCGTCTTCTTTACATTTAGGATATTTTAAAACTGAATTATATTTTGAGACAAAAATTGTAGGATAATTCTAAATAAATCAAAAATTGCATTCGCGATGTCAGTGCTGACTATTAAAATGACCAATATTTCAATGTGCAAAAATGACAATCATATATTGCTATATTTTAATGTTAAAAATTGCATGCAATACAGACTGAAATAGAAACTTGAATTGTTAGTAAAAGGCCTAGGTGCGGTGGTCATTACCATTTCCTCATCTGATAGAATCATCTACATTAATTACTGTTGTTATCTGCTGTACATCATAACTTATCTTAGCAGGCCAGGACCATGAGTAACATCAAATTGTATTATTTATAACTTGATAACCAATAATTAACTACCAGTAAGTATATCTGTTATCTTTGTGATCATAGTTTGGTACTTTTTTTAGAATCTTTTGATAATTGTCTGCAATATACACATTTTAGAGAAAAAATATAAACTAATTAAACTACAGCCTTATTGAAGTTTCTAAAGATGAGAATCACTTCCTCCAAACCAAATTTTTTACAGATGAGTTTCGGCTTTGTCACAACAGCATAAATGACCATAGGTTGTCAGGTGTTGCAAGGACAATTATAACTCCAAGTTGGCAGAATTAATATGAGATATATTTATTAATAAGGTATGTTACTCACTTATGCATTGTAGAGAAGATATGTCATAAAAATATGAGATTTTTCTAAGACATTGTATTAAAATTTATCAAAAGTTTATCACAGCTGAGAGAACTTGAAGGTAAAATCCATTATTTCATTTGGGTTTGGTTTATAATAAACTATTGAGTACTATATCCTGGACTGACCAAAGTTAAGACTATTTAAGACTTAATCACATCACAACTACTGTCTGGAGCTGTTTTTATTTTCATGCTTACCTTAAGGCCACAGAGACTTAATTGCAATTCCCTTGTATAATATCTCAACCTCAGTTCATTATGTGATACTGATATTAAAATTATTTTGATATGATATAATATAATTATATGATGTGATGCAGGAGAGATATTCAATCACTTGCTACCTGATGTCAGGCAGAAAAAGCTTTTTGTTTAAACCACTGATAGAGTTTAAATATAAACTATAACTATGATAGATACACCCATAAAACTGATAGGAGTATTGATTAATATTCTATCACATTAATCAGCCTATATCTCAGCCTTGTCTTAGGGTCATGGGGAACAATACATGTCAGGCCACATATTTGTATAGATGATATAACTTCAGACTCATTTTTGTAGTTAGTTTTTTCACTAATTACCATATCACCGAATAATTAATACACACACACATATATATATATATATGGCTCTGTTCTCACAACTTTTAGATCGATCTATCACCGCGGGGAGTCTCACTAGATTACTGTCAGATAATCCCCCTTAAGTGTCCGTCCCCGCCTACTACAAGCTTTAAGGGGTAATTAACTTTCGTGTCCGCCCGGCTGACAGCTATTTAGCGTGAACCCCCAGGGAGTTAGGTCGATCCAATGTAGGTCGATCTAATCTATGAGAATGGGGTGTATATCAACATTACCAAATACTAAATATATTAATTAGGGACCAGGTATCTACTGAAAAAGAGCAGTCCTGAGCGAAAGACAATTTTCTATATTTATTAAAGATAATTAAATGCAGAGAATCCTTGCCTACTGGAGTCAATTACAAACTGCTTAGTCCTCAATCCAAGGCCATGTGNTCTTCTTTACATTAAAGATATTTCATAACTGATCAGAATTATATTTTGAGACAAGAATTGTAGGATAATTCTAGACAAATTCACAACTGCATTCGGGTGTCAGTGCAGACTATTAAAAGGACCAAAATTCCAATGTTGAAAAAAGACAGCCATACATAGCTATATTTTAACATTAAAAATTGTAAACAATACAGACTGAAATGGAAACTTGGATTGTCAGTAACAGGCCTAGGTGGGGTGGTCATTACCATTTCCTCATGAAATGATAAAATCATCTACATTAATTACTGTTGTTATCAGCTGTACATCATAACTTATCTCAGCAGGCCAGGACTATGAGTAACAATAAATTGAATTATTTATAATATAACGTAATAACAAATAATTAACAAGATATATCTGTTATCTTTGTGATCATAGTTTGGTACTTTTTTAGAATCTTTTGATAATTGTCTGCAATATACACATTTTAGAGAAAAAATATAAACTAATTAAACTACAGCCTTATTGAAGTTTTTGGTGATGAGAATCACTTCCTCCAAACCCAATTTTTTACAGATGAGTTTTGCCTTTGTCACAACAGCATCTATAAATGACCATAGGTTGTCAGGTATTGCAAGACATAGGGACAATTATAACTCCAGGTTGGCTGAATTAATATGAGATATATTTATTAATAATAAGGTATGTTACTCACTTATGCACTGTAGAAAGGATATGTCATAAATTTACATATATCAGATATTTCTCTATGCTTTTTGTTTAAACCACTGATAGAGTTTAAATATAACTGTGATAGATACACCCATAAAACTGATAGGAGTATTGATTAATAATCTATCACATTAATCAGCCTATATCTCAGCCTTGTCTTAGGGTCATGGGGAACAATACATGTCAGGCCACATATATGTAAATGATAAAACTTCAGTCTCATTTTTGCAGTTAGTTTTTTCACTAATTACCATATCACTGAATATTTTATCAACATTACACATTACCAAATGTTACATATATTAATTTAGGGACCAGGTATCTAATGAAAAAGAGCAGTCCTGGGCGAAATAGAATTTTCTATATTTATTAAATATAATTAAATACAGAGAATCCTTGCATACTGGAGTCAATTACAAACTGCTTAGTCCTCAATCCAAGGCCATGTGGAGTTCTCAAATGCACATCATATAGACCTACTATCATGACATATCAGTCATGTTTGGAATATTTACTATTGTCTGTGGGCTTGTCAAGGGCTGCTCTCTTAAATAACATGAGACCTAAATAAGAGACACTTGTGGCAGATATATCACCCTTCCCCTTTTCATTGGAATCAATTATTTCATAATAACTACAGAATGCAACAGCTGTTCTGTCACATGAGACATCTATAATGACATGTTGCATTGGTATTTTTGTCATTTCTATGTTGAAACCTTACACGCCATATACTTATTTTAAAATGTTGGTTGGATTCAGACTTCAATGTATTTTGGTAAGTCACCTGTTTTCATGATGCACAGAAATATAAACTACACAAGCCTGTATCTAGCAATTCCAAACAGGTGTTCTTTTTTATGAGGAAGTGGGACTTTCCCCCCCCCCCCCTCCTTAGGTGACCCAAATTGGGAGATATCATAGAACTTAGATTAGGATTTGATTCAAGGAGGGACTAGCCAAAAAGGAAGTTCTTTTTATCCTCCCCCCCCCCCCTTTATCAGGTCTGCCCTAAAGTCGGTGATGACAAGAGGTCATCCAACTTGTTAGGGAACCTATCCTTATAAACAGACCCAAGTCAAGCATTTCTTTAAGACAGTGCAACTGTGTTGAATGACTCAACAGATGACTGTAATGGAAAAGTTTAGTTAATAAACTGCTCCCTCCTCTCCCCTTACACACACAGTATTCAACTGTACTTATTTCTATAATTCACTAATAATAACACAACTCTAGGTCAATAATAAGTGGTATCAAAGATGTCACTATCATATCTTACAATACCCTACCAGCACATGTCCGGTGACACAGTCACGGTGTCATGATTTGACATTTTGACACAATGTCCACTTAAAAGTAAAGCTCTTCAGACTGCAGACTGCTTCAAGTATTTTAATCCCAAATAATGACGAGTCCAATCATTGATATCATGTCAACAATAATGTGAAGGGTTTCTGAGCGAAGGAAAGTGCAATGGCAATAAAATAATGCCTAAGATGGTTTGTATGGGAGTGACCACCAGGAGATTGAAAAGTAACCCGCAGAATTAGGTCATACCAACTTTGTCCGCTTTACTTACCGATCAAGTTGAACTGTGTTGGTACTTCTCAGCGAAGCACGGCGTTCATCTTATGCTTACTTTGCTTCCGCTTTCACTCCTTACTGCTGAAGTCGCCCTTTGCTAGAAAACCCGGAAGAAGGAACAACATCCAAGCACTCCAAAAGTGGATCGAGCAATTACCTGTAGAGGGATAGGTGAAATTGACATATGAAAGGACCGCAGAGAATGGATTTTTTTCAAAGAAACATATTTTTCATTCACATCAATGCAGTTTTAATGAATTCAAATATAATAAGTAAATACTGATAGTTTGAATTTCCTTCCTTTACCTGTTTATAATGATTTTGAACATTTCATTAAATGCGTCGAAGCCCGAAGCTGAACGTAACTTATATAGGTCACAAGTTCCGGTACACATGCACAGGGAAAGTGATCAGGATGTAAGTTTGCTAAACTTATTGAAACAACTTTTCTTCTTATTGGCTTGATAATGATGTAATCGGGAAAATATGTAAGATGAAATATTATGTGGAATTAAAGTTATTGTAAAATTGTAAGTGAAATATACGTGACTTTATTTTGTGGCGGTAAATTCAAAAATGAGAAGTACAGCCTACAGGTAACTTTAGTTTGGGGTTGCGGTCAACATAATATTTTTCTCTTAATATTATTATTGGTAGGGCTTGAAATTTTAAAGGCCCATGGCCACGCGCCTGATTATGAGTTTTAAGCAGTCCAATTTATATCAAAATAGTTTTCTGTTTTAGTGACAAGTACACAGATTATCCAACTTAATTAATTTTTAATTTTTACACAGACACTTGAAACATGTCAAATAATATATAGAACAGAAGTTTAATTTGTGATTCTTGGAACTCTTAAGCAGAGTGATATGAAATAGACAAAACAATGGAATTTTGGTAGGCAAATACCTGTGTGTCCACTGAATATGAGAAAATACAGAGTACCAACTGAGTAAATACAATATTTTTTCCTAAAGCCAATGCAGTAGAACTTGACTTCCTAACAATTATTGGCTTATAAAGAACAAAGTGGGGTGACAAAATGCAATATTTTATCCCTTGAAAAAGGCATGATACTGTAGTTAAAAGACTAAGACCCCATTCCCAGAGATTAGATCTATCCAACTAGATCGACCTAACTCCCTGGGGGTTCACACTAAATTACTGTCAGCTGAGCGGGCACAAAAGTTAATTACCCCCTTATAGTGGTAGGCGGTACAGACATTTAAGCCAGATTATCTGACAGTAATCTAGTGAGACTCTCCACGGGGATAGATCATACTTAAATCTATTGGAATGCGTCCTTTGTTGATACCGGTATGTACATGGCATGTATTTCATCTTGCAAACCTTTCAGAAAAATTCAGTTTTTAAGTTTGTTCTTAGAAATGTGCCCTTTCTTAAACCTTAAAATCATGCCCATGTGGTGGTACTGAATGTACTGGTACTAGCTGATCTTAGGCCAGTTCTCAGTGCAGTAGTTGAAAAGTGTCATGCAACGAAGAAAAAAAAAAGATTGGGTACTTGTGAGGTACATAAAAATGACTGGATACTTGTGAGATATTTTTAAAACTAAATTTGGCCACCTGTTAAAGTCCTTGTTAATGTAGATTCTGACACCACTGTAAGTAAAACACATTGTCATCACTAATTGATTGAATTGGGTTGATTGACTGATGAAATTGATTTAATCTGTATCAGATTGATAATTTTGCCCAGCAAACTTTTCATTTGGTTCTGTTACATTTATATTTTATTATGACATGATTACTGTCTCTGTATGAGATGTGTTTTGATGCCAGAATACTGTAAATATTTTAAATTGATGACAGGGCACCATACTATACTAGTAGTGGCAACTATTGGGACAAATATTTTATGACAAAGAGTTGCACACAAACTATGTGACACAGGCAAACAGTGTAAGGTGCATGTAGTTCTTGTTTTCTGTTTCAGGCACACCATTTTATTTATTTATTTATTTATTTATTTTTATTATTATTATTATTATTATTATTATTATTATTATTATTATTATTATTATTATTCTGGTATACTGGGTGCTCAGCTAGGTTGTAAAGTATGCTGCCTAATAATGAGAACTTCAAAACAGGCCCATAGCCAGCAATTTCAATGGGGATGGGGTATGGATCTCTTTCTGAAAATGTGAAATTTTTATAGAAATACCATGAAAACTTCTTGTACCTAGGTCAAATTTTACACAGTGCAGACCTTTTTCTTTTCGACAGAAAGAAAGGGTGGGAGGTGTGCCCCCCTCCCCCTTCACGGCTATGGGCTTGGCAAATTGAGCACGCTTGAAACCATGCTAGTGGTCAAGTAGAATGACTTTGATGTAGTAATATGGTGCCTGTGAAGGCAGCCAAACCAGATAACTTGAGGGAATACTGAAATAACTTATTTCAATTGGTAGGTCAAATTATAATAGATTTCCAGCAGCAGTTAAGTGGGTCAAAGGAAAACGGAAATGTGGAGATGATTTTTTTAGTGAGGACAGTTTACTATGACTTACCTTGAAATGTTATTCAAATGAAGACTTTGTTGAAAAAGAAACTTAAAAGGAGAAATTCAATATCTTTTCATTTAAAGTCTCTAATTTTTTAAATTTTAATTATTTTTAGTTTGTCACCATTTCTCTGGCTCTGTAGTTGGTCTTTTTATTGTCCAATATTTGGTCATATTGGATTGTGTTTTTCAGTGTGACCAGATGCGTGCTTCTCTAACACAATGCCAGATACAGCCACATCATTTGATATCTTCAGTCCTTAATAACAGAAAAATTAATACCAGCAAGTCAAACACTTGCATATTTATATCTTTCCATTATACTAAAAACAATAAGAACAGGTGACTCAATAAATTGACCTAATTATTTCTCTTTTAATGGAAGTTACTGAAACATGTCTAATGAGATGGAATTGATCTTTAAAGGCATGGTTAATACAATTGTTTTGATAATTGGAAAACCTATTGTGAGCATTAAGTATTTGATTGATGTTTTCTTTGGTAGTTTTCCTAATGTGTCCCACCTATGTAGATGTAGTATGTAGGTGTGAACTGCGAGATGAAAGAATATCTAAATGCCAATTAGTTAATTACTGAAGGTACAGATATTTATCCTGCTTAATATGACACTTTCCCCCATGGGTTCTAGGTTATTCAGAGAGAATGTCTGAAGTTTACCAATTTATTGTCATTATATACAATAATGAAGTTACAATCATATTACAAAGTTAATGAGGCATACATAGGTAAGTCATGTAAGGATTACAGATTGCAATGTGAAGTTTTTATCATAGAAAAAGTACTACCACCCATTATTCCGCACTAGTATTTATTATTTTTTTTTTTCTGTCAAACAAGAGACAGTCATGATATCAAATTATACATTTTGCTACAGCTGATTGGAATATATATAAAACTTTTTCATGAATTATGAATCATATTTTTATAAACCCAGGTGTTGGTATAGTTTTTTAAAGCAACTAATTATGGTTCATTGTATTTAAACTGGTCTATTTTATTTTTTACAGTTATAGTAATGTTCGTAAAAGGATTGCTGTCATACAATTATTTTACATAAGAATAGAAATTGGTTATAATGGAATTTTTAAAATTTTAATGATCCATCTTAGGCTTAATATTTTTTATCATTTATCAATCACTTTAAGAACAAAGACCAAATGAAAAGATGAATGGACAGAATACATTAAAAAAATTAAAAAGATCAGACAAATAAAGTCATGATTATGATGTTGATATTATACTATTCTAGCTAGTAGTTCAATGAGAAACAATTATTTTTCAGTTCAAGTATTATTACGAATTAAAAGTACTCAGTAGTTGTTCATATACTTTTAATTAAAATTAAATATTTGCAAAATACTGGATTGATCATATTGTATAATTTAGCAGTATTCTTTGAAGTAGTTATGAATACAACCAAGACAGTCCATTTGTTCACATGTCTCCGAAGTAGTACAGTATTAAATAACTCTGGCTTATAAGGTTCCACAATGACAGCATAATAAATGAAGAATACATAGTAAAGTAATACCGCATGAGTATGAGGCATGTCAAAAGAATGAATTATGTTTACTTTTTATATTCAGAATCCTGATAAACCACTGTTTCTGTACAGGCACTCCAGATGTGTATACTAGTGCATTCACAACAATGACCCACGCGTGCATATATATTGTGTAAATCGGGTGTAAAATTAATTTTAGTAAATCTAACAACATAAATACGTAACAAGGTTATTCAGAAATTAAGTTTAATTCTCCACTTTGTACCAGATTCTTTTTAGCTCTCCCTTTCTTTTATCTCCCAGCCATTCTTTTGTTTATTTGTAGATGTTTTCTCAGAAAACATTCACCATTGGTGGACCATATGAGAAAATACCGCTGCCGCATTGTGATATCTTCAAAAGATACCTTGCTCTATGAAACAACCACAAAGTCAAAATATAATGCCCTCCATTGAACGACTGAGCAAATAGCTGCCTCTGGAGCACCATTGGTTGGCTGCGCCAGGCTCACAATAGCAATCAATACGCGGCTTTCACGCCAATAAGGCATACCTCCACTGCCTGTCGTGGGGTGAGTACTGCACTGTGCATTAATCGTTGACATAAGACTTCTTAACTCTTTAATATCTCATAAAGAGCCTGTCTAGCCCGGAGCAGGGTAAGTGTGATGCCATTGTTGCATTTATGTGTGGAGACTAAGATGATACCACTGTTACATATATAAAGTTGGAGAGGTGAATGTTTTTATCTCAGTCCTGGTTCCATTAAAGTTAGTATTTTGCAGCAGTTCATATATTGGCATAGTGACAGGTTAATAGTTCTCATGTTATATTGACTGTGGTGTGTTTTGAAAGATTAAATTACGTTAGGCATGTGATGAATTTTTTGACACATTTCATAACGTATACAGCTTAACCTGGGACTCAATTTTCTAATAAACTTGCGAGTTTCATTTTGTCCAGTTTGTTTGTATGGTGTGGTTGGTAAGTTCATTAAATCTAGTGCTAATTGTTAAAGTTGGGAGTTTTTAAGGATCAGTTTTATATTATGCAATATTATATTAATATAATCCCTAAAATGCATTGTTGTTACATTGCATGTAGCAATAGGAAAGAGTCAAAAGGAATGTTGGAGATCTGAAGAAAGATTTTCTTTTAACATTACAGGGGGTAGGCTGCACATGTATCTTATGAGTATGTACTAGTAAGTGAAGTGTGAATTTTTTATGGGTTGGTTGCCCCTAAGCTGCTATTTTGGATTATAAATGTCTTCAGAATGAGAAGAGCCGAGTTCTAGCAAGGCCACGACAATCTGAATGGGGCCTTAATGTCTTCAGAAATTTTACCTTAGGGCTCATTACCATTGAAAATATTGGTCTACATAGATCTTTCCAACTCTGCGGGGATTGTGGCTGAATGCAATCAGGTTAGCAGATAAACACACTTCCTTTGGGCATTAAGTAAAATACAGAAAAGCAGGTGATTATACAAGTAAATTGGAAACAGGCATATTAATCTGCTAATCTGACTGAATTCAGTGAGAGTCCTGGCAGAGCTGGAACGATCTTGATACTGAAGGTTTCAAAGGGAATAAGCCCTTAGACGTGGTCTATTTAAATTCAAGAGAAATTTGTAGAAATACACTTTGTAAAAAGTAAGCGCTATTTGGAAGCAGGCTTGTTATATTTTATTTAATTGGACTTCTGATGATTTATCTTTAGTCTAAGTAGCCTAAATTTTTGGCATGTAAGTTTAAACAACTTTGTGGTTAAGTTAATAATTTTATGAAGGTCTGACCCTGAACAACTTTTTATGTCTTGTGACGTCATTTGAACGTATATTTTTGTTAATTGGTACCATTTGCAACATATCAGGCTTTTGAGGGAACTTTTAGATATTTCTTAAGGTGGAATGTGGTTAAACATGCTGAGAGATGAAAGTTTTTATTACCTTTTTTGTATCCAATTAAACGCTGTCTTACCAGGCTGATGAGGCCAATGGCCCTCATATGTTTTACCCAACACCATTAGTAAGAAGTTGTCAAAATGTGTTAGCTTTAATTAGGTATACCAAAAGTTAATATGTGGAGAAAAGACTGAGAGTGTCAGAGATATTGCAAGATTGCTTCTTCATTTTCAAATTTCCACATGTAAGTCTGCTTAACTCATAAAACGTGCACATAACGATGTATTGAGATTTACAGCGTAAACCTATTATTATTATTATTTTATTATTATGTTATAAAATACAGACTTACAGGGTAAGAAGAGTTAATTGAAATGGAATTTATAGTTATAAAGCAGGTCCTGAATAAAAATAGGCTGATTAAAATCGTTTTTAGACTGGATTGAGGAAGTAATGACTGTTTGTTTGTACCCATGTTACATGCACCACCTGTAGGGAGTGTTGAACATCATGAAAAACTGGTGGGAAAGTCTTTTTTAAAAACTACTGGTATTAGATAATGTTCAAAGGCTCCACAGGAGGGCCTAGATTTTTAATTAATATCTTCAAACTGTTTACCACATGAAGTTACACTGCAGTGTGCTTCTCATGTTCTCTCTGTAAAGATGATAAAAATAAGGTAATATGCCCAAAATAATTAATATACTACTACCTGTTTTATACTTGTGAGGCTTTGCATTTTTTTTACTTCATCAAAGAGCCCTGATCACATCTCACACATCATGCTTCATGTGTAAAAACATTGTTGATTGTCTCTTAAGAAACAATAAAATGCTTCCTTTACCATTTAAGTTAAATAGTAAAGCTATTTTAGTTCACCCGTTCCTGTTTGGGATCTTAGTGCTCGTTCCCAGTGAAGCTATCAATCTATGTAGATCTGTCCAACTCCATGGGGACTCTTGCTGAATGCAATCAAATTAACAGATTAATTAACATACCTCCTCCAGGGTTTGAAAAGAATACAGAAAAGCTGGGGATTATACATATGCATTGGAAACAAGAAGTGGAGTGTCCTGACGGAGTTGGATCGATTTACTTGGACCAATAGTTTCATTGGGAATGAGCACTTAATTGTTATTCATGCAGTGAGACTTAGGGTTCAAAGGTGTAAGACTACATGGGACTTGTTTTTGATATATACTTTAACACTTGTTGGAGGGAGAGGGGGATCAATATATGAGCAGCACATTTATCAATGCTTCTTCAGCTATAGCTTGTTGAAAGACCCCTGGAATTGATTGGAAGAGTAAAAAGATAAACAACTTAAGGCTGTTTTTTATGTATTTATACTCTATTGGAGACAAAAACACTTGAGGGTGTAACAAGCTTGCATGAAAGAGCAAACCTAAGATCCAATGTACAGATTCTGGATCCTAGATTTAAGGTAAAGTGTACAGGTATAATATGTTATTAGATATGCATAAAGCAGCCATGTCCTCTGACAAGAAAAACTCTTGCCATCAACAGCATTAGAACTTAAGCAAAATTACAGATTTTTAAGTCTATTATTTGAAAACTTTGTTTTCCCTAGCATGTCTTCACAAGAACTCTTTCACATTTTTTTCGCTTACTCAAATTCTCAACATTGAGATTTGCATGTGTGTGCGTGCATGTGTATGCATGTACGTGTGTGTATGTGTCACTGAGTGTCTACACCTATATTACAGCAACAAAGTAGAGTAACATATGCATGTGTACTGGTATATTAGCATCACAAACTTAAAAAAACTTCAAGGACCTACAGAAGGTCCTCTGATTGATGGACCCCCCCCCCCATCTCCCTTGTTGTCATTACTCACATGCATGCATCAGCATGCGTTCGTGTGAAGGTTATTAAACAAGTCACCGTGGTCGTATATTTCAATTATCACATCCATTCAATACATTGATCTTGCATGTCCCTCATGGCTGTGGTAGTTGATTAGATGATCTCAATTGATTCAAATCAGCATAAACCATCTCATGTGTTGGTCCTGAGCCAATAAAAGGGAAAATTGCTCTCACTTATCACAGGGTAATTGGATTACTTTTAAGGTGTCTAATAGCATTGTCTCTAACCACAAAATCTTTTGTTCTTTGTCAGTTCGTCTGTCGTGCGGAGTGAAATGAGTGCATAGACCATAGTCGTGTTTTCAGAACTTTACATTTTAGGAAGAGTTTATCTAGCATGATAGCAGTCTGATAAGACCTATCCTAGCAGCTCGTTTTAAATATTGAAATTAACTGCTTCTGGTAAAGTATTTAATGTACCTGCATTTATTTTGTATCAAATGCCATATACATCGCATCACGCACATGTCTACTGTATATGATTGGGTGATTTTTGTAATAGTTCTGTCAGTATCACATAAGAATTATTGAATTAATGTAATTATTAATTATAAATAAGAATTTCTAATGACATATGCCTCATTGAGGATGGAGGTGGGCGGGTCTACTAAAGGATTAAATGGAAGTTAATTCCCTATGGTGATCTAATCATAATAGCCAGCTGATCAAAATGAATAATGTGATTTTAGGTCATTCTCCCTTCTCCACTTAAAAAAGGTGTTTCTTCTCTTCTGAGTGATTTCTCTAAAAGTATTTTCAGTGGCGTTCTAGTAAATTTGGTTTTAACTTCAGCACAATTTTCATATTGTACTGATTTTGTATGGTCAACACCCCAACAAATTGTGTTAGCCAAAGGTTGTGAAAAACTTTCCATTATATAATATCAAAAGTGTGTTTTTAGACACTGGCACCTGAACTTAATCAATTCCCTTTAAATCTGGTTAGAAGTCAGTTTTTCTCTCCGGCAAGAATGGTGTATCCTCAAAGTTTCACTGATGAATTCCAGATGTTTTTGTCCAACTGTGAGCAATGATCTGCACGCTTTTACACTAAAAAAACACTTGTTTTAAAGAACTTCCTTATGCGTTTTCATAATGGTTCATGTGCACCTAGACTGGATGTACAGTATTTGTTGATTTATTTTAAGGTTATTAAGTTCAGCCCTTCACAGTCCCATACATGCATATACTAGTAGCGTGTATTTATTGCAGCTGCTGGGGAGGTTATGCTTTACCTTTCGTAGGTTTGTTAGTTTGTTAGCAAAGAAGCTCAAAACATTATGAATGGCTTTTGATCATATTTTTAGGAATATTAGGCCAGAAGCTTACATGGAAACAGTTATTTTTTGGCAGTTATGCATTAATTGATTGATAATGATAATTGTGCTGCCCTGCCCTGCTGGTCCCAAAGTGCTTTTTCTAGTCAGTGATATATTCCCATGTTGATAATTTTCAGGACAGTGTTTGGTGCTAGTTTGTTACTGATGACAAGGTAAATGCACACAAGCTAGTGTGCCTCCATATTAATGCATTTTGATACTTTATATGAGATAATTTATATAATGATAAACACGCAATCATGTACATGTCTCACCATTGGTACATGTACAAGTATAATCTCAACTTTCCAGATTGAACTGATGAATAAAATTTTTGTGAAAAATTGGGCGTGGTTACAGAGAGATTAAGGATGTCCAATAGGACCCTATAGGAAAATTTCATACAGGAAGCTCTGGCAGCACAAGGTTGATCGAAAACTTGCCATCAGACTTTTAATT